ATATCCTTCAATTTTCTCTCATATCCTTTTATATCTTTTTATGTCTTTTAACATCTTTTTATATCTTCTCATATCAATTTTATATGGTTAAAGAAATAAAACTGAGTGAAAGAAATGGTATTAATTAAAGATGGCTCCTCAACTAGTTGTGGCTTGCGGTAGCCAATCAGAGAGTTGTGACAGAGTTACAGCAGCCAATCAGAGAATTGCGACAGAGTTGTAGCTAGTTGCAACTTCCATCACTAGTATTAATATAATTAGATTATAAAAGTAATCTTTAAAATTATATTTTCCAAATAATTCAATTCAAAACTGTTTATTTCAAGCTAGAATAACAGATCCTTTTATACATTTTTCAGATACAAAAATTATTATAGTATTACTAGCTAATACTATCTAATATACAAGACATAATTAAAGTACTATAGTATAAATAATTATGAATGAGTTACATCAAAGTATATTAAAAGATGTTAAAGAATGTTAAAGAATGTTAAAGAATGTTAGAGTACATGAAAGAATATTAAAAGATGTAAAAAGATATGAGAAGATGTAAAAAAATGTTGAAAGATATGGAAAGATATAAAAGAATATAAGAGAATGTCAAAAGATATCAAAGAATAAGAAAAAATTATTATCCAAGTGTAACTGTTCTACCAAAATTAAAAATAATCTTCTACTATACTATTCTACTATATATATAAATATCGTAATACAAAATAATAAAAATATAGATCCTAAATATTAAATAAGATATAGTATTAAAAATAGAAATGTGATAATAAATATAGTAATATATAATATAGAAATAGGAATATTGATAAAATAAATAAAAAATATAGAAATATGTAATTTTATATAATCAGAGAAAGATTAAGAAATTAAGAAATTTTATGTCACTATGATAATATATGGTTCTCTTTCAGAAAATTTTTATTCTTGCAAAAATTAATTAATAATCTTCAATAATTTTTTCTTATTCAAGTGACATAACTTGATTGATATAAACTTAAATCTATTATTAAAAGCTTCTTCTTCAGAGTTGTAAACAAAGAATACTTTATGTATAACATTATATAATCTATCATATATATATTTTCCAAGAATATTCTTAATATTCTTTTTAATTTCTAATATTTCTCTTGAATATTTCTGAAGTTGAATTAAAAGTATATATTCAAGTTTATAATATTGTAATATCATTTGATTATTATTATCCAAAGGATTATTGTAAATTAATAATATAGCTTCTTTAAGTTGAGTAGGCTAATCTTTATTTGAAGTTGATTTAACTTCTTCTATAATAGAGATTAATACTTCAGGTTATTCTTTAGAGATAGTTGAACTATTAGAACTTACAAATTCTGATTCTTCTTTAATATTTTCTTGTTTAATATTAACTTTAAATTTATCTTCAGATGAGATAACAATAAAAGTATTTAACCAATCAAAGTCTAAGTCAGTAGTTATATTGACTAGTTTAACAAGTACTTCAAGAAGTTTAATAATTATTTGAGTGTCCAAGAGGAAAGAATTATCCAGTTCAATATCTTTAGTAAATTCAGATTGCATAAGCAAATTCAAGAGCGTAATATTAGTTTCTTGTCCTGTATTATCACAGATGAGTAATTCATAAGTAGAAAAAGTAATCATTTCAAAAGGTTGATATATGAGTATTTTCTGATAGATCTCTTCAAGAAATTTGATCATCAAAGAGATAATCCAAGTTGGTAATTGAGATATGATAAGAAATAATAAAGATAAAAATATAAAAGAATTTGAAAAAATATAATGTAATAAGAGTAAAAAGTAATAGATAAACATAAAATGTAAAAGAATAAAAAAAAGAAAAGAGAAATAGAAGGGGTATTTATATAAAATTTGAACTAAAAATCTACTATAAGTGATAAGATATTAAAATTTTGGGATAAGAATAATTATAAAAATAGATAAAAATAAGATGAAAAAGAATTTTGAATATAGAGATGACAAAATTAAAAAGATGATCTATGTAAGTTATTTAATAATAATTTGTAGTTCAAAGTAATCTTAATGATCATGATAATATTTGATTTGTCTTCTATTAATAGAATATTTGAGAATATTTCCATTTTGATCACAAAGTTTGTAAGAGTTATATTCAGTATAGTCATAAATATAATATCATTCTTTACTCCAAGTAGGTTGAAATTTATCTTCAATTATTAAGTATTATTTCATATCAAATATTAATATTTTGTCTCTAATTTCAAAAATTATTTCTTTTTGTATTTTGTCATTATAAATTTGAGAATATCATAGTTAACATTCTTTTATATTTTGTTTTGCTTCTAATACTTGTTGAGATAATTGATCTACTGTATGATATATTCATTATATCAATTTTTCTTCTTCTGTAAAATCTTCTTCCAGATAGACAGAAATTTTTAATTTAATTGGTAATTTAGCATTTCATTTATAGATTAGAAAAAATAGTTCATGTTTTGTTGTTGAATTCTGATTTATTCTATATGCAAAAAGAGCAGCAGGAATGAAAGTATTCCATTCTTGTTCATATGTTATTGTCAATTTTTATAAAATCATACATAGTGTTCTATTAAAGCATTCTATAATTCTATTAATTTGTGAATAATAAGATAAAGAAAATTTATGTTTGATTTCAAATTTTATTGATAATTTTCTGATTATTTTATTGATGAATTCTAATCCATTATCTGATTGAATTTCTTTAAAATATCTATATTTACAAATTATTTTTTCAAGGATAAATTTTGTAATTATGATTACTTTCTTGTCTAGAATAGCTTTAGCTTAAACATGGATGCCGAAACTTTTTGAGCTGTACCGAAAGATTTCAAATTTCGGATATGTTATTCCTGAACTATTTCCAATTCCCTAAACTACTTTCTGTTCCCCAAATCATTTCCAATTCCCTAAACTACTTCCGATTTCCCAAACTCCTACCGAATACTGAGACATATATGGAAAGATGATCATGAGTGACCGAAGTCACAGGAATGACTATTATCACGAGAGATCAAATCTGATTGACACATGCCCAATTTGAGAGATAGAGCAGTATTTAGTAAGATTTGGTCATTGTGCTTTTCATTCACTGCACTTCTATGTACCCAAAAACCTTTTTTTCTGGCTTATTGTATGTTCTCTCCCACTCTAAATCTATAAGAGCTGTATACATACTGGATACTGCACCTAGCAGCTGTGCACACCCCATACCATTCTCTGATATAAGTGACAGACGTATTCTGTCGGATTTTTGAATATTTTGTAATACAGGTGGATCACGAATACGGGTTTAGAATGATCTCTATTGGATGCTAATTCACACGCAAAATAAATTCGTGTTTCTTGCTATGGCCAAGCTTTTTATAATATTTGTAAAGTTCCTAAAGGTATTTTACATATCACCAGTCTCTGACCAGTATATTTCGAATAGTGGTTGCAATTTCATGATAACACTTTTAATATTGAATAAAACTAATCAATAACAAATTTATTATATAATTTAAAAATTTCTATTCTTGGTTTACAAAAAGATTGGCAACAGTTTTAGGATCATAATCCTCCTCTTGTTCAAGATCCACCATCCATTCATCTAATTCATTATTATCTTCTTGAGGATTTTTCACATCTGTTTCATCACTAACTGGTTGATTTAGGTGAGAGATATCTAAATTTATCATGTCTTGCAATTTCAAAACTTGATCTTCTAGTATCTCACTATCATCATCAATATTTGATCTTTCCAAATTCACATTTAGCATGACCTGGTCTAAATCAATATCCTCTTCTTCATCATAAAGATCTGCCGTTTTCAAAATTTGACAGATTTCATCAGCTGAATGACCTTGATCATAATAAGAAAGTTCTGACTTGTTGTTTGCAAGATAATATGAATGAATTTTTGCAATTACTTCTAAATTTTCTACCAATAACCGACCACGACGCTTTCTGTGAATCCATCCACAAATAGACCAAATACGCTCACAGCTTGCTGCATGTGGTGATACCAAAAATAGTTTAATAGCAAGTTGTTGAAGATAGGATGGTTTTGTCTCACAATTATTCCACTATATTAGAGGAGTGTCATAATTAGATGCGTAGGAACTGTTGTATGGTTGTTTTTTTTCATGATACTGGCATAATTGAGCGATTAATACTTCTTTAGCTTGATTTTTTGAATGACTGTTTTGCTTTAGCATTTTGGTGATTTCTTTAATTTTAATCATTTGTTACCAGATAGTAGCCATGGCTGTACCAATTCATTCCATTTGTCCTGATGCAATTCCAATATCTAATAAAAAATAATAAGTTTAAATAATTTTAATAATTTACAAAATTGAATATTTACCTCTATATTCTGGATGTAAAAAATAAGCTAATAAATATTCATCAAAATCAAATTCTTTAAATCGCTTATTAAAAACTTGAATGCAATAATGTCAAAACATTTTGTGATCTTCTTCTGGAATTTTTTTAATTGCAGCACCAAGATGGGCAAGATCAAAAAAACAATCTGCTATATTTGCATTTTGTCTTTTCAAGCAGATAATAGTATCTTTTACCGGCTTTATAACTATTGCTAGATCATTGATATCTTGAAAAAATCCTCGTTTACACAAAATGATACTTTTAACTGCTTCATTTTGAATTACATCAAGATTTTCATTAATAATCTTAGAAATAAATATTATTAATATTAGTTAAAAATATAAAATTTAAAATATATTATTATTAAATTTACCTCTTTTAAATATATTTCCAACCGATAAATTGAATCAAGCATTTTATAAGCTGTTGTTCATCTAGTTTCCAAATAAGTTTTAAGACCTCCACCTTTGATTTTTTTTTCTTGGATTTTTTTTTCCAGAAAATTGCGTGATAAATGACTTTTTTTGAAATAAGCTATAATAGTATTTGTCCAATTCAAAATATGAATAGCAAAATTATGTTTGACTAAATCTTTAGTAATAAGATTTAGACAATGTGTAATACAACGAATATTCAAAATGTGTGAATACTTTTGAGTAATAATTTGGTGGGATAGGTTGATATTAGATCCAGCATCAGTAATAATTGCTGCAAATTTTTCAACTCCAATATCTTTGAAAACTGTTTTAATTTGCTCAACAAGAAATTCTGCCGTATAACTTTTGTGAGAGAAATCTTGAATACTCCAAAGAATATCTTTACCATCAGAAGTGTGAATTACAAAATTCCACAAAGATTTTTCTGCTAGACTTGACCAACCATCCAATGCTAAAATAGAGAAAATAAATATATATATTAATATATTAAATAAATATATTATTAATAAATATTTAATAACTTACCCAAAGTTAAATTAGTTTCAGACTCTAGAATTTGATAAAGTTTTGTATGAACACGCAAAATTTCCAAATTAAGAAGATGGTTTGAAATAGTTTGACAATTTAATGGATTATAAGAAGGGCGTAATTATTTAATAAAATCAATGAAAAAGGGATGTTCAATTAATTGCCAAGAAAGACCACAACATATAAAAAATTTAACTAAAGATATTTCAATGTCTTTTTTTCTTTCTTTAGATAATTCTTTTGTTTCAAAATAATTATCCAAAGTTTCATTATCAGTATGAATTCGTTTATTGGATTTGTTGGTTGTTGACTTTTGTCATTCTTCAACTATATGTCGTACTGTAGCTTTTACTTTATTTGAAACTTTTTTGCATTCAGTTAAAATGTGTCATTCCATTGCTGAAGGTTTTCCACAAAGCCATTTTTTTTTACATGCTAAACATGTAGCTTCATAATGGTCTTTATCTCTTTCTGCACCTTCAAGAAAAAAGTGCCAAATTGATGTATGAGATCTTCCACCAATATTCTTTGTTTCTTGTTCATTAGTATTATCAGTAGTAATTGACTCAATATCTGACATTTTGGATATTTTGCAAAGTATTTTTTTGATAATAAAATATACTTTTATATAATTTTTACAAAAATATAAATAATTAATAAATTTATAAAACTGATTTAATTGAATTATTATTTTATTATATTTTAAAACAATAAAAAATATTAATATAAAACTGAGTTAATTAAATTATTTATATTATATTTTGAAACAATAAAAGATATTAATATAAAACTGAGTTAATTAAATTATTTATATTATATTTTGAAACAATAAATAATATTAATATAAAATCAAGTTAATTAATTATTGATCATCAAATTTAATTAATTTTATTATATTTTGAAACAATTCTAAAATAAATAATTATACAATAATAAATTCTAATTTAATAATATATTCAGATATTTAGACTATTTGTAATATTAAAATATTAGCAACTATTTAGAATATTGGCAACTATATATTAGCAACTATTTAGGGTATTGGCAACTATTTAGAGTATTGGCAACTATTTAGGGTATTGGCAACTATTTAGGGTATCAGCAACTATTTAGGGTATTGGCAACTATTTAGGATTTAGAAAAATAATAAAATCCCAAATAGTATATACTCTAACCGAATCCCAAAGATGTTTAGACACTATAGTATTTCGGCACCCATCTTTACTTTAGCTTTAGGTCATTTGTAAGATAGTCAATTACTGTAATAATATATTAATTTCTAGTTATTGTGATTTTACTAAATCTAATTAGATTAATAATAATTCTGTCAAAAGTTTATTTAATTTTGATAGGATGTAAAGGTTATTTGGTAGTTTTTCTATCAGTTTGCTAGCAGATTTTACAAGTTTTTATATAATTCTTTATATCAGTTCTCATACTATTCCACCAATATTTATTTGCAATTTGTTAATAAGTTTCTTCATATCCAAAATATTCAGATAAAAAGCTTAAATGTAAATTAATAAGAATAGCTTCTATTTTATTTTCTTTGATAACTCGAAGAGAGGTAATTAGTTCTTTTCTTCTATTAATTTGTAAAAAATATTTTACTTGATTATGAATTTTGTGTTATTATTTAAAAATTGATTCTACAGGATAAGTTTTATTATTCAAATATTACTGTAAATTATAATAAGTTGTTAAATCTATATTATTATTATAAAGAGAAAAGTTATTTAATGATTTTTTGAATATATTCAGAATAATATATCAGTATTTTGATTCTTTTTTCCAGGTCGATAAGTAATAATAAAGATATATTCCATAAGAAACATGATCTAGTAGTTTACTTTAGCAGAATGACTTGATTAATTTTTGAATAATCATCTCAAGACATTATGATTAGTAATAATTTCAAAAACTATTTCTAGTAAGTAGTGACAAAATTATCTAACAGCTCACATTACTGCTAGTGCTTCTTTTTCAGTTACTCCATACT